TACTTAAAATAATGACTTAAAATATGTAAAAGTTTAATTATATTATACATTAAAAATTTTTAAATTCACGAAATATAAAGTAGGAAAAAGAAAAGAAAAGCTGCAGTATAGGGAATATACGGACCGATCCCGGTCTGTATATCTATATACGGACCGAGATCGGTCCGTATATCATGTAAAAAAAAGATAGAGAAAACAGATTTACTTTATTTAATAATTACATAATATTACCAAATAATGTAAAAATATATTTTACTATTCAAATTAAATGCATTTATAAAAAAATAAAATATGTTTAGAATAATTATTTAAAATAATGACTTAAAATATGTAAAAGTTTAATTACATTATACATTAAAAATTTTAAAATTCATGAAATATAACGTAGGAAAAAAAAAAGAAAAGCTGCAGTTTAGGGAATATGCGGACCGATCCCGGTCTGTATATGTATGTACGGACCAGGATCGGTCCGTATATCATGTAAAAAAAATCCATTTGAGATAAAGAAAATAGATTTACTTTATTTAATAATTACATAATATTACCAAATAATGCAAAAATATATTTTACCATTCAAATTAAATGCATTTTATAAAAAAATAAAATATGTTTATGCAAATTAATGAGCTTGGCATGTTGGATCATAGTGCTTGGTATGATTCTTGAAATTAATGAATTTGCTTATTAAAATTTGTCCATATTGATTACTTTAATATGTGTTCATTGATTATATTCATAATATTTGATGATGCATACATTGATATATGACTAAAGTTGCATTGTTTAGTAGTTGATGTCCAATTTAACTTAGTTGAATGAAGAAATATCATATTAAGGTGCATTCCCTTCAAAACAGCCCCAAACTTTCTGTTTGTCCCAATCAAGGCCAGTAGAGCCGGCTCAACCACTTTCACAGTCGGCTCCACCCAAAAACCCGAGAGTCTTCTCTCTCTAAAGTTAAGCCGACTCCAAGAATAGAGCCGGCTCTCCTGCAGCTTTTTGAATATTCAGGCTTCTCTCTCTAGAATTATTGAAAAAGCTGCAGTTTAGGTAATATATGGACCGGGATCGGTCCGTATATCATTCAAAAAATGCTTTTGATGACTATATGCTCTTATTGAGGGAGAGTTTAGTATAAAATGCTTTTGATGACTTTTGGTATTGAATGTTTATTATATAAAATGCTAGAAATTTTTTTAAGTTTAGTATAAATATATAAGCCTCTAATATCTATTACAAATATAAAGTCAATACAAATATTTAATTGAAAATAGAAAAACCTAAATATCTCGGGGTGTCCTAGGGGTGACTGTCCCACTGGTATCCAGTGGGGTCATGCCGAAATGCTGGTAGAGTTGCTGCATCTGTTGCTGCATCTATGTTGTAAAAATCGATTGTTGCTCCCGTAGACTAGCATTATCTGCCAAAACATTAGATATTTCTTGTCGAAAGTTATAATTATCTGCCTTCAATGAGTCAACAGTCTGCTGCAATTCGATAACCCTATTAGACTGTCTCATAATGGGTGGCCTGAATGGTTCTCGTCTAGATGTGCTCACACCTATATCCTGTGGATGTGTGTGAATATCCAAACCTTTCAACCATCCTTTCTTGACCCCACCAGTTGCCCT